CCTGGTCCACCCGAAGAACGAGTCATCGGTCCTTGACGAGACCTGGTCCACAGAATCAGTCATAGCTCCCCAGCGTTGACTGATCCTTCTCTGGTGGTGAAAAGTTTAACTTGTAGCCTTAATGATCGTAGTGCAACCGAAAGGTTTTAAACTCCATCAACCAGCTAGTAACAGACAAGACAGAAAGATACAGTGCTGTGGCTGAAACAGTTCCCAAGAAAAAAAAAAGTCTTTTGGAAACAAAACTACAAATCGAAAACTGCTTCTGTTTCCCCTTCTAGAGGGCGAGTTGTGGAGAGAAAACGTCATTCACTGAAACCCTGAGGTCGTGAGCTGTAAGAAGACACTAAAACTAAGAGAAAAACAATAGGAAAATGATTATCAGTAGCATTAATTATTAGTGTTATATTTTTTCATTATTATTAGTTAGTTAGTTAAAGATTAGCCGGTATTCTCCCGGCCCGGGCCTTTTCCAAGTGGTGGCCCGGCCTTGGCTCCCTCTTTAGGGAGTGTCTGAGACCTAAGTCTCCCATGGGAGGAGGCACAAGCACCTCCTCATCTTTGGGACCAACTGTCCCCAGGCCTAGCTACAAGCTAGGCCTCTCTGGTCTGCCATCCCCGCCACAAGGGGGCAAATGGGAATGACAGTCTTATGAGCTAAAGGCTCGGGCTCAGGCACCTACCCTACCCTAGAAGGGTTAGGCATGGTATCGATCTCATCATTATTATTATTATTATTATTATTATTATTATTATTATTATTATTATTATTATTATTGTTAGTGGTAGTATTTTTCCATTTTTTTATTTTTGGTTAATTAATTATTATTGCTAATTACTATTATTGTTAATTATTATTATTCAGAATAGCTGCTAAGCCCGCATGGGCCAGACAGAACTGCAAAAGACACTTCTAAATTAAAGTTCTAGACAGACGTTACTGGGTCCCCTGAAAGAGAAAAATACCCGCTAGACAAGCTGAGTAAGACTTAATATATTTTTTGTAGGTTTATTACGTTTAAATCCTATAAGCAACACTTGGGTCCTTGTGGCGCCGTAAATTGGCGACTGGGTTAAACTTTCGGCATATATCTACACACGGATACACACATACATACACACAAACGCCTCTCGGAGTATGTATGCCCTTGAGAGATGCTTACAGCAGAGGCCTATTGCCTTGTGTTTCGCTCAAAGGCGAAAAAAAAATCTCAGCTGGAACAATTCACAACCAACCCATAATACCGTGATAGTAACATTTCACAAGAAACCACAATATCGCAGCTGGAACAATCCACAGGCTATCCACGCTACAATGGCTGCACCGATTCACATCTAACCTACAAATTGGAAATGGAAACTAAACGACATTTCGGTCCTGCCAGGACTACCATCAAGTCACGAAACTGATCAAAGACTGGTCGTATCGTCGTCTAGAAAGCCACTAATTATTCAGAACATATCAGACAAACTGGAAGGGTAGGACCTTCATGGTCTCGAGGACTAACCTGAATCAAAGACACACGTTGCAGAACAGACGTTAGATGGATATGAAAATGTTATACAGTATCGACAGGTTGATAAGTATGACATGTGTGCAACAGTTAGGTATCTTTATTCCAAAACGTTTCGCCTTTACGGTAAGCATCTTTAGTCCGGTACAGAAAAATTATGTTGAAGTTGGTAGAATTACCGACAATATGTTAGATAAACGGACACAAGTGCAACTAATGTGACATTTTATTGTGGAAACGTTTCGCTCTCCAAGAGTTTTATCAAACTTTATAAAGCTCCTGGAGAGCGAAACGTTGCCACAATAAAATGTCACGTTAGTTGCATTTGTGCCCTTTTACCTAACATAGAAGAGTTAGCAGCAGCAGGGTGATGGACTGATTACATCGTCTGTACTCGACTGAAGAAGCCTACTGTGTAGGCGAAACGTTTCGGAATAAAGATACCTAACTGTTGCACATGTGTCTTATCACCCCAGACACAAATCACACCCAGCCCCTCCCACTCATATATTTGTCCAGTGCCTTTTTAAAGCTACCCGAGGTCTTGGCCTCGATTACCCTACGAGTGTTCCACGTATTCACAACTCTGAGAACCAATACGTACTTACCTATGTCCTTCATAAATCTTCATCAAACCCAACTTACTAAAATTTATATTGTCTTGTTATTGTGACTATAAATTGGTCATCGCTAGCTGAGAAAATGTTCACTAAGAATGGTATACAATACCGACAAGATGAAAATTAGACACATGCCCAGCATCTGGGTATCTTTATTGTAGACTCTTAAAGACTACGATACTCTTCACCAACTCCAAGGCTGAGGGACTGTCTACCTCATCTTTTATATATAGTTATATATAGTCTTCCAATTACGTCCTAGAATTTGTATTGATAAAGCTACTGGCTGGCGTAAAGTCTACAATAAAGATACTCAGATGTTGAACATGTGTCTAATTTTCATCATTAAGAAAGATAAACACTCAC